TAGAATGAATATTTACTCTCTTGTTTTATAAAATGAAGATCGCTTGTATCATTCATAAAAAAGGTATTTGCCAAGAGAGAATATCCCTTAAATTGCTTGTCTTCTTACAAAGTTAAAGCTATTGAAATGGTAGATGCATTATTTTGCTTATAATTTACTTGAATTACTGAATTTTAACAGTTCTGCGTATAAAACAGGAAATGTGACCTGTTTAATTCTATTTTAATGTAGAGGAAGTAGTAAGTATATGAATGAATCATTTATTTTTAATTCCTATCTTTTAATGATAATTTGATAATCATTCTTTAAAGAAACAAGTAAGAGGAATCTAAACAATAGCCTTAAAGATTCTGTAGGAATCAAAATGTTGAAAAGAACTTGAAATTCCCAAATTAATAAAATTACAGAGGTTTTAAATGCAATAATTCATTTTAAGAAAAGTAAAATGACTTTTCCAAGATTAACCAGGTAGTTCATGACAGTTACCACAATTACAACCTAATTTTCTAGTATCCCAGTTTAAGGCCAAGGCCTTTGCTCTTCACTTAACTGACCAGGCCATTGGATGAGAGGAAGATGCCTGGTAGATAGGAAGAAGTTGAAGAGAAAGGCTGGACGACATTGCTTGTGTAATAAGTGTGGCATATCCCAGTACACATAATTATTACTGACTCATGCCTGACAAGGTAAGAGAGTCTTATTAGTTTCCACCAATCTTATGTGAATAGTATAAGGTTGAGAGTATGATTACTGCTCATCTGTAGTAGAGATCCAGTCTTAGTGGGAGAGTTCACAGTGAAACATAGGTCATATAAATAATCTCCTGAGGATTGTGGAATTTGGTAGTATGGGAACCAGTTTGATATTGCATGTCATTTTTTTTTCTTTTGGTCTTGGATTTCAAATTCAAATCCAAATTGTTTCATTGACATCTAAGAAATGGGAAGAAGGTATAGAAATATATAGAAAGATATAATCTTTAAGGGCATAGAGAGAGACTAGTTATGTTATGCTAATAGAAGGAAAACCTTAGGAGTAAGGAATAAGTATTCATAATCTAATATATCTTTATACACCCTGGTATATTTTCATTAATCTTCTCTGTAAGATTTTAATCATACTGCATGTGTTATTCATTATATTTATCTCATGTCAGGATTGTTTGCATATTAAATTCAAAGATTGATCTAGTCATTTGTTCGCAAATTTTAATGTGCATCAGAGTCACCTGGGGGGCTTGTTAAAACATACATTGTTGCCTGCCTCCCCCCACCCCTTAGTTTCTGATCCAATGTTTCTGGGGTGGGGCTCAATAATTGGCATTTCTATTAATTTCCCAGTTTATGCTGATGCCACTGTTTTGGAACCGTATTTTGAGACCTATGGATCTAAGCTATGTTTTAAAATCAATCTGTAAACTTGGACTTTTTGTTAAATTATCAGAGATATGAGATAATGAGTATAAATTATCTTACATTAACACATGTATTCTTTCTTTCCTTGCATGCACAGAAACAAGACATTCTTAACCAAGTAAGACATTTTCTTTTCTATTAAAATCTGTCTTTTCTTTCTTTATTCTGATATGAGCTATGAAATTTCTCATCCATATCACTGAGCTATACTTCTGTACCAATAAGATTTGTATATTAATAGTATGCAAGTTTACCTATAATACTTACAAAGTTATAATTGAGGTCAGATGGGACAAAGTTTTTTCAAATTAATCAAAGTCTCAAATGGAGGAGCTGGTACCTTAACAGAATCAAAAATGGTCCCAATTGTAGTCTTCAGTTTTGTAGACCTTGGAATTTATTATTTCTCATTTCTCTAAGACATATCAGCCTCTGTTATA